CTAAAAGAAAGACAAGGTAAAGAAATACAAAAAGAGGGGAAACCCCACCCAACAGAAAACCCCAAGCCAAAACCCAATCCTAATGTTTTTTTTGCCCCTTTCCTGCATCAGAGTAACACTTTCATTGCCCAAAGCTCCCCAGAGAAAGTCCCCAGCACACTGGGATGTGTCAGTCAGGACTCCTGTGTGACAGAGGCACTGCTGGGACATTGCACAGGACGTTTTTATCTGCAGCTCTGCTGGTCGCTCATTCCCACCAGCCCAGGTCATTGGTGGAGGGAGGGCATCACTCACCTCAGCCTGCAAACTGAACACATGGGATGGTTGGAAACAACCATCCAGAACTTCCAAGCAGAAAAGCTGTGTCGTCTGTTTGGTGCCTACAACCCTTTTCTAGCTCCAAGAGTGACTCAAGGTGCCTGGGATGTCACTTTTACTTTAATGTCAGTAAGTTTGATAAAAGGTTTGCATGTTCCAAAACCTGAGTGCTGTGGGGCTGTGTTTTCAGCTCCCATTTCCAGTGAGGACTTGGCTGAGGGTCAGAAGAACCCTTCGGAAGAACATCATTTGGTAGAACAAAGGAAGCCATCCCTTGCTGATTTTCAGCTCTCCACCTGATGAGAGCTGACAGAGGATGTGGCCCAGCCCCTGAGAGGCTTTGTGCCTTTCTGCCTGACAAAAAAGCTGCCATTGTGGCTGTCAGGTTTGTTTCATTGTGCTGTAATTACAGACTCGGAGATCCTGGGGAACTATAGGGAGAATGAGATGCATTTCACACTGGGAGCTGAACTTGGAATAATGCTGCCCTTATGAAAGGTGGGAGCAGTGAAGGTGTGGCAGAGGTGTGTGCCACTATTGCAGGGGGATTTAGGGGAAGTCAAAGCCCTCAGAATGACCATTTAATTTAAAAACAATTATTTCTCCTCCTTCAATGAATAAGTTGTGATGCATTTTCCAAGTATCACTGTGGTTTCTCTCCTCTTGTCCTGTCTCTGGCTTTCAACCCTTGTGGCTTCATTTCTCCAGCAGCTTGAATTGCAGCTGGGCAGTTCATGATGGGCTTTTTGCTAATGCCACACTCATTCCATCTTCAAACATGAGTGAACTTTGTCCTGGGAGGCCAGGGCCAGGTGGAGCAGGGCTTTGAGGTCTCTTGCACTGCACAGGATGGAAGCAGGGCCAGCAGGACACTTTTCCTCCTGGAGATGCCCTAACACAGCTTACTTTTATTTATCCCTGCTTCACCCAAAGCTCTGCCAGCTTTTATATTAACAAAAGTGCTGTGCTTGACACCAAATCTCCATCGATGCTCATTTAAATAAATTCAATTTGTTTTGTTTATCTTAAGAAATGGTACTGTACAGCAGCAGCATTTGAGGACATTTAGGAAATAGAAATTCAGTGGTGATGCAGTGAACATGTTTCTGGAATTTGTTGTAAATTGAAAACCACAGCAAACCTGACCAAGCTACAGTTTTAATTTTGGCTTTGTTCAGTGTTATGCCAAATCCATTATGCTCACTAAAATTTAACAAAATCATGCAGATCTTACAGTGATCATTGTCAATATTTATATAAATGTTGTGTTGATGAATGACACATGTTTTCCAGCTGTACCCTCATCACTTTGTGAATCAGGATAAGAATCTCTCATTCCAGCCTTTGCAAATCCTATCTTAGGTATCTTTTGTGAGCAGAATAGTTTGGGTTGGAAGGGACCTTTAAGACCATCCATTTCCAGCCCCCTTCCATGGGCAGGGACACCTTCTTTGTCCACTGGCTGAAAAGGTGCAAATCAAATAAAGGAAATAATGGAAAATCTTAACTGTCCAACTGCAAGGGTGCACATACTGAGTAGTGGAAAATCCTGCAAGTGGAAAAGCTCTTTTTAGGTGTTGGAATAATTGTACGTTGCTCGAAACACGCCTAGAACAGTTTAAACAGTTATTAAAGAGTGTTGCCAGATTTTATCACTGCAGTCATGCATATAGATCAGTGATCCCTGAGCAGCACTGTGAAATGTGTGAATGAGGTGCACTTGCTAAAAATAACCCTACTGAGTGCTGCTCCTAATTGCCACAGAATCCTGGGGAAACGATCCCATTTCGGCAGCACAAAATTGACTTTAAATGTTTGACTGCAGCATGACATGTGGGTTCTCAAAGATGATATTTGGTAGACCTTGGTCATCAGCAGTTAAAAATGAAGCAAACAGTCACCATCAGATTCTACTTGGAGCTGTTGTAGTTCTGTTCTTGTGTCACTTTGGGTTCTGATTGTGTGGAAACACCTGGCAGGGCTGCAGGTCTGGGCTGGGAGAGGCTGGAACTGCTCTGCCTTACCTTGTAAGCCAGATATAAAGAAAAGTATCTGTCCAGCAGCCCCAAATATTAAAAAAAGTATCTGTGAATTTGTTTTTAAAGTAAATAAAAAGTTCTCAGAATGTTTGGCAGCAGCTGAGCATCCCAGAGCTGACTGACAGAGAAATGATCCTTTTGTTTTCCTCCCCTTTTAGAAGTTTATTTTAATACTTAATCAAGTTTCCCCCATGCCCTTGTACCCCAAAGAGAATCTATTTTCCTTTTCATGGGAAATGGATTTGTTGATGAAGAACCCACAGTTGCCACCTATGTGACTCTTCCAGATTTCTGGATATTGGAGAAATTGGAACTCATCTATTTTGTTATAATTTTGTCACATATTTTTGTTATTATTCCATCTTCACTTTGGGAAGGTGAAACCTTTCCCTCATCAAAACCAGTCATAAAAATCACTAAGATTCTTTTCTTTCTAGCAAATTCTTTGATTATCCATTTCTTTATGGTTATTCATATTTTTAGGCAGCTGCAGCAAATGACAGATTTGCAGGCACACTGAATTTCTGCTCCAGCAAGGGTTTAAGCTATTTAGGGAAATGAATGAAGCACAAAGGTTTTTATTTAACTATAAATTTTGTATGACTTTAATTTTTTTTTCATGAGTGACTGGCTTTCTTACATCAAACTCCTTCACAGGGAATTTTACAGCAATAGGCAGTGCCTTTGACAACTATAATTTTCTAAAACTCTGGGAAAGCCAGATGAAAGAATAAATAAATATTGATCTGGCTGGGGTTTAAGTAATCCCTGATTAAAGTAAAAATGTATTTTAAAAGTGGCATTGATTACTCCTGGACTCTGGTTTTGTTATCCTTCCCAGGCTGAAAATGTTGAGTCTTTACAGAGTTAGAGAAATATATTGAGAATACCAATAAGACATTTATTTTAATTTATCACCCCAGTGTTTGAGCACTTTTATGTTATCTTCTGAATTGATACACAAAATTAATCTCACAGAAGTGGGACAACTTTACTGCTGAGGCAAAGGGGAGCAGGAGGTTTAAGGACACACCTGTGCTGCTGGGCACAAATAGTTTTTACAGCTTAGGCCTCCAAGGGTCGGTGTTGGAACTGGATTTAGCCAGGACAGAGCCAAGTGTTCCCATCCCTGCCTGCATCCAGTCCTGCTGGGAATCCCCTTCTCACTCATTTAATCAACTTTGTACCATTTCCATCCCCTCTGGCAGAAATGTTTTGTCTTGCTGTACTCCAAAGCCTTTGGGTATTTCCCCCTGCTGTGTCTCCTTGTTTGCTGTTTGATTCCTGGAGTCACCTGCTGATTTTTGGGACTGGTACCCAGTAGAGGGATTGCATTCTCAGCTCCTGGACAAGATGGACTTGCTGTTTGCTCAGCTCCAGCGTTGTGTGTGCAATTCAGAGTGAGAGAGCTCTGGCTTTTAGCTGTTTTCATGTGTTCCCACAATGGGGAATCTCTGGGATAAATGTGCTAAGAGATGTTGGTAGCCCAGGTGGTGGAACAAGATATTTGGCTTGGAACTCCTGCAAGCACTTCTGTCAGCTTGGGATGGCAGAGAGGTATTTTTATCACTTGTAGTGCTTACATGGCACTTCAATCAAGTGGGTTAGGCTTGGTTTGGTTTTGTTTTGGCCAGATTTCAATTTAATTCATGATGTGCCACCTCCCTAAGTCAGCTTTGGCTCCCAGATAAGTCGTGTTGTCCTTTTAATTTCTGGCCGAGCATTTGCACAGCGGAACCCAGAGACTCTGGGAATTCCTTTCTGGCCCTTAATAACACGAGGTCCATTCTGTTTGTGCATCCCTCTGATGCTCTGAAGTGCTTTGAGGGGTTGGGAGAGAAATTGCTGTTCAATCCCTGTGTCCTGGAGCTCTGTAGGGCTGGCAGTGCTGTGTTCCTGCATCAATCTGCTGGTCTGGAAGGGAGACATTCCCCAGGCAGCGCGAGGGGCTCTGCTGAACTCATTGCTTGGCAAGTTGCGTCTTGACAAATGTGCTGCACACAGGATTCTGTCTCTGCTGACGTGAAATCACCCCCAGAAGGGCTTGAAATAGAATCTTTGTTGAAAATTTCGCCCTGGCATTAGATTTGTGACACCTGCGAGTTTGTCCTGATGTAATTCTTGGAAGAGATGTTTGTTTTCATCTCCAACAGGAAGAGAGGAAAACTTTCATGTGCCCTGATTCATGCTTGTATTTATTCAGTAAACATTTTCCCCTCAAGATATTTGATTCTGAGAAAAATTGAGGTTCTCAGTTTTGTTGAATGCTTGTAGACCTGAATGCTACTACAAAATAATTGTAAGTGCTAACAAGCATGATGGCTTTTGTGTGCATTGTTAGTTAGATTTTTCTGGAATAAAGCAATACTAAATGCTTCAATTCTATTGGAAGGTGTGTAATATTTTATTTTTTAAAGGTGTGTTATACTTGATTTTTTTAAGAGTCACTTTTAAATTTTCTGTTATGGAAAAACACAAGAGAGATGACCTTAATTTTATTAATTGTGCAATAAATGCATTTGGATTTAAATGAAGCTGCTTTTCAATGATTGAACTGCCTTTCTCTTTGATTTCACATTCATTATAATGATTATTATTTAAATTTCCAAAATATAAACGTGTTTTTTTCTTTGTTTTTAACAGGTCCTGCATGCTGTGACACAAAGATCTCCTCGCCTGGTGCGCTATGTTCATGGTGAGCCTGATCTCCTCCTGTTGTCCATTTGTCATTCCAGGGATTATTATATCAAAGGAGTATCATGTTATTTTAGCAACCAATCATTTGAAATCATCATAAACACATGGAAATGAGTTTAGTCTTTGTTTTTTGCTGAATTAGTGACAAATCTCCAGTTTTCTACAACATCCGGTGCAAAATGAGTTTTAAGAACCTGAGAAGGATCTGATAATGGCCTCTAAGTTCCAGCGGCCATGGTCAAAATTGCAGATAAGGCAGGATGGGGCCAGTTTTGTAGTTTCAAGCGATCAGTGACATCAGAATTCCTGCCAGGAATCAGAATTCCTGCAGATTTCCTCTCCATGAGCAGATCTGCACACAGCAACACAACAGGCCCAGCCTGGGTCCAGTGAATCCCATTTTGTCCTGGTTCCAAACCCTCAGGCTCTTTAGCTATGCTAAGGAATTCTCTGTGGCTGCCAACTTTTTGGCACTTCTTAAAATAACTCAGTTAAATATATTTCATAAACTCATTTTGTATAGGCAAAAGAAGCCCCTGTGCTGCTCCTCAGCAGCACGTGTTCCTTCTCCTTCCCTTCCCCTCCAAATATTAGCAAATTGCCCCTTTCATAATGATATGCAAATAAACCAGCTTTTGGGATTAGGCCTCACATTTATCAAAAGGTTTCCTACTGTGTTCTGCTTTCTTTTTTTTGGTCTTTTTTTGAGGGGTTAAGTAGCAAACACCTTCTGTATTTCTGGGTTTACTGATACCTATTTTTAAATTGATTATTTTCTCTCATGCTTTTAACTGGAAGTAAGTGATCCTCATGTGGCTCCAGTGTTCTTTTCTTCTTTTTTTCTCCATTTAATTTTTTTTTTTTTATTTCCTAAGTTCTCCCTTATATATGCCTCAGGATGTTTGAGCTGCTTGGTGACCTCCACCTTTGAGAGCAGAAGTTAATAAACAGCTTTCCCTTGCTGATGGGCTTGGGGATGGCACAGGATTGGCCAAGGCTTTAAGGGACACAGATTTTTAGGATTTTTAATCCTCTTCCCCAGCTCACCTCAGCTGAGTCCTCCATTGGGATCTGCCTCATGGAGATGTTGGGGTAATCAATGGCCATATCCAGCTGAGATTCCTGGTGTTTCTGGGAGCCATCAATGTGCTGTGGCTGCCTGGAGGGAGTGTTCCATCCTGGGACATCCATTGGGGTGTCAGGAACCATCCTCAGCTCCCGGGGGAATCCTTTCCCCTGATGAGGGCCTCTGGGCAGCTTTGGGGGTCATGGCAGGGACAAGCCCTTGCTCAGTTGCACATCACTAGTGTGGGAAATTGAGGGTTTTTGAATAGCTGGCTAATGTGATTAAGTAGAAGTTGTTTATTGTTTACATTATGCACATGTTTATAGATTCTAAGTACTAAGTGCACACTTTCTGATTACTGCTTTTGTCTTTTTTACTCATTTTCTCCCTGTGTTTCTCAGAGTAATGATTGGTTTCAGTCCAGGTGTTTCACAGTCCTCTGTTATCTAGTTCTTGTGGTCTTGGCGTTCAGTTTCTCAGCCTCTTCTTCCTTAATTTAGTACAATTTATGTTCTAATAGCCTTGATGAATCCTTGAGGCTTTGATAACAAACTTAGAAGCGGGCTGGCTGGTGCACACCGTGGCCTAACCCTTGCTAATACATTGCAACTCATCACATTTAATTACTCAGAACTCTGCAAAGGGAGATGATGCAAGAACAAAAGTTTAACATCTGTTAGGGCTTTTAATGCCAACATTTTCCTTTTTTTTTTTTTTTTTTTTCTTTTTGGTGTAGTTTTCTACATTTTTCTGACATTCTAGCAGCTTTTCCATGTAATGCATGACTTTTCTCCCACATTGTGCTGTCCGTGGTGATCTTTGGAGCAGTTCTGCAGGTGCTTGCTGGAGGTTTGGAAAGGCTCTGAGGATCCAGAACTGACTCTGAATTTAATTAATCTGGGAGCCCCAGAGAGACAGTTAATGGCTCCATCAATAACTTCCTCATATTCTCATGTTTAAAATATTGGACCAGTATTTTGAGGTAGGTTAGGAGTGTCCTGCATTTTGGGGTCCCCTGCAAGCCCTGCAGATGTTCTCTGGAGCACAACTTTCTCATTTTCCTTGCCACAGTTACTGCAGAGGGCCCCAAGCTTGGCACTGCTTGGCTAAAATATTTTTTACAGCAAATAAAATAAACCATTGGCATCTCAAGGGCTTACAGTTAAATTTTACTAATGCAAATTGCTTTTGAGTCAGGCAAGTCTAGCAGTGTTATTGTTTGTCTTTTAAAAATACATTTTATCAAGGCTGGTACAAACCCCCACATGAATTCAACTATAACTTTTTCTGATTTTGATGGAAAAAATCATTTTATGATGTTCAATCTTTCTGTAATGATGTTGAAAGGGAGAAAATTGTGATTAAAACAGAGTATTAAAAATTCTGCCCACAAAATAATTTGTGAAAAGGAATTGCAAATCCAGTGGCAAGAAATCTTTATAGCCAGATAAAACTGCTTGGGGCTTCCTTTTGTTTCCAATTTATATTCACAACAATTAATGAGGATAAAGTAACAATCAGAGTCATCAATTAAAACTATCAATACAATTGGTTTTAAATCAGTTACCAGTCCATACCTTTGAAAATACTGCAGCCCAAGTTTTGTGATTGGATTCTATTGGCAGAGTGTGAAGAAATGGTGCAAATAGAAATGGCTTTTCAGGGAATCAAGGGTAATCTACACCATAAACACACAGTTAATATTTTATTATCTGACACATATTCACTCTAGGTGATGCTGAATTTTTCGAAATAGTTTTATCAGGTCAAGTTGGCACTTTCCTTATGCAGTCCCTGGTTTCTTTGGGGATCCCATGGCACCCTGAATTTGAGATGGCATTATCATTCCCCTCCTGGTGTGAGGCTGATCTGATCAATGTGGGGACTGTGATGACTTTGTCATCTTTTGTCTGCTGTAAATTGTTATCAGATTTTTCTTGTAAAATGCAGTTTATGTTGCTGCATACAGAGGGAATAAAGCATTGCTGAGGCAGAGTGGTTCCTCTACTGCACATTCCCCTTGCTGTGCCCTTTCCTTGGCTTCTTGTGGCAGGATGGGGCTCAGAACTGACCTTTAAAGAAATACTGAGTATAAATAGGAGCTGTTGAACTTCTGCAGAAATGGACTTTGGATTGCAGGTGTTCATAATTAGATTAATTTGCAGAGTAGATCAAGCCAATGAAGGAGGCATGGAAAACTGATGGAGGGCTTATCAAATTAGCTAAGTAGAGCAATTAATCAGACAGGCCTTAACTGTTTGGTTTCTATTTTTTGGTTATTAGCTGGAGCAGTTTGCTTTCAGCTTGCATTAAAGAAGACACTGAGTGCAAGGCTGTGCTTGGGGAGACCCTTCCCTCCTTGTGTCCCTGTCACCCCTGTGTGTAAGGTGGCACCATCAGGGACCCATTGGCATTCCCAAGGCACAGAGCAGCCTCCTGCCGACCAAATAATTTTTAAAAAAGTGTTCTGCTTTCTCTGTGAAAATAACTACAAAAAAGCACCAACAGTGGGCATAGGATTTTATCTAAACAGTAACTTGTCAGTGACAGGGATCAATCAATCCTCAGGAACTTCTTACTCCAGTAGGGTTACAATTATCTTAAAGGTATTTAAAAGCACCTTAGAATGATGATTCTAACAAGTTGTTTTTATTCTAATTGAGTTCCTCCAGTTTGGGGAGCATTATGCATATTTATACATTTTTTTTGTTTTTCTGACTCCATTTGTAAATTCTTTGGTATTTTTAGATGGACTTTTCCTGCCTTTCACTGCAGGAATAAAAAGAGGGTTCTATAAGATTATCCCAAGAGTACTTTTCCTCATTCATTTCACAATAAACCTCTCTGGTAGCTGTCAGATTTGACCCTGAGAAATTTCCCTGAGGCCCCAGAACATTGACATGGAATAGGGGGCAGAGATCTCTCTCCAGACATGACCCTCCCACTTCCCTTTTCCTTCTATTCAAGAGGTCAAATAATTTCTCTTCCCACATCCACAATGAGTCCTAAAGCACGTCAGAAAATGGGGAAGAATGGAAATTAGCACTTCTTCTTCCAAAGCTGAAGAAAGATGATTTGATGAGAACAAGACCTTCCTTCAGATCTCCCTGAATGCTGAACTGCCTCGTGTGTAGAGGTTAAATATAAGTTTAAAATCATTCCTTGTGCCTTCATTTAAAAAATACCCAATGAACGTTCTGGCACATCGGCTTTGGGCATTTATATTTAGGAATCTTATCACAACTTAAAATGCTGCTGTAAAACTGGTTTCTGCTCTCTGTAAGTCCTCAGCCATTTTATCTTAAATATCCAGAAATGAAAATCTTAACCAGGGTTATCAACTTGGGTCAAGCTTTGAAATCCCTTTTAAACATTTTGAGTGATATTTTTCATGCCCTTAACACTGAATACTTCAAACCCCAAAATGTCTTTTGCTTAAGAGTTCTTTTGAAAACTGCAGAATCCTTGAACAGCTGAAGATTAAGAGGAGTTTTTTTGGTGACTATTTCAGGATTTTTTTATAGATTGATAATCATGTTTGCCGTAGCAAGATAAAGGATAGATCTAAAGGCTGATGCCTGAGATGTGTAAGCTGCATTTTCTTTTATATCTCTGGAAAAGTAGTCTCTGATTTTTCTGATGAATTTCTGTCTCTTGCCTTGATTTTTGAATCACTGAAAATAAGATACAGCTTCTGTTTTAACCAATATGGGAAACTGCTAAAAAGCCTGTAAATAGGAGTAATTAACACCCACCTCCAACAGTTCCTTTTTCTGCTAATTTAAATACAGGATTTCTAGGTCTAAAAGCATGTGAAGATAGTTCAGACAACATACATGTGCTTTCAACGTGCTTGAATCCAATCCTTGGGAAGGCTGCAGGGCTGTGCTAAATGTGATCTAAATTACTCTGGTAGTGATATAAACCCAGAA